TATATATATATATATATATATATATATATATATAGTTTTTTGGTTGATCTCATATGCTCATTTCTTCTTTAACCATTCACATTCTAGAATGTGTTCCTCAGCCCAGTTCTTCATATCTGGAATATGAACAGACAACTGTCAGAGCTGATATCCAGACACACAATTCTATTTTGTGTTTTACTCATAAGATAATCTTATATCATCATCAATTCAGAGTTCTGTAGTGCAAATAACTCTGTGTGTGATTAGATAGATAGATAGATAGATAGATAGATAGATAGATAGATAGATAGATAGATAGATAGATAGATAGATTAGACAGATAGATAGATAGATGGATAGATAGATTAGATACATAGATAGATAGATGTGTATACTGTAACATACATATACATACAGACAAAGATTCTAAGACAAATGTATCCCAGTACAATGTATTTCAGTCACAGGTTTCATGTGTTGTACTTTGTAATACTTCCCTAGTAATTCCTGAGCCGCTGCAAGTTTTAAATCCGACAAATAATTCGCCATAAACTGCAGTGGGGCAGATCCGACTGTCAATCAATCAATCCCTCTCATGTCAGAGGCAGTCAGTGACCGGGTTGGGCTGATGAATAAGGGCACAGCTCCGGTTTGGGGTGTTGATTTGAATGCTCTGTGTCTGTTTTATGACAGAAAGGTGGAAGTTGTTTTGCAGGGTTGATGTCAGTGAAAATACAAGTGAAGCTGCGTTTACTTCTCCCATTTCTGTACATTTTCATTGCACATTTTTGGGGTATTTCAGCTCCTTCTTATTCACCAACATCCACCTTTATAAGTGAGCAGCCTCTGCTGCTTTAGTGCATCGGCTCCTCTGTCTCTGGCGTTGAGTGAGCTCGTTCTTGTGCGTTTATTCGGTGTTTAATCCGTTCGCTCTCTCAGTGCAGCGTTTTATAGTTTTAGTAGTTTGTATCCCCCTGTGTAGTTTCCGTGGTGATGTACAGACTTCATATCGTCTATGGAGGTCATGACGGAGCTCGTTCACTCTCTGTGGAGGTGTTTTAGGTAGAGGTCAGGCACTTGGAAGGTCAGGTTTGTGCAAATGTCAGAAGTGGCTCTTTGGATTGGACTGTTTTTGGTTGTAGTTCGGTGCTGGTGGTGGGCGGCGGAGTGCACGGCTCGGTGCGGCGCGCTCACAGCTGTCAGTGCCAGGAAAACCCGGCTGTAGAGAGGCGTTCATGAGCGCTGACACCAGAGGAAACGAGTCATTTACCGGCACTGCGAGCTTCTTATCAAACGCCATCCACTGACTGCTGCGGAAACTTGTCTGGGGGGAAATGTAGCCGAGGGATCGGTGTCACCAGCACCATGAAATGTATATAAAAGATTCAATGCAAGATCTCGTCCTTGTCTGCATTGTATAGGAAGGGCGGAATTCTAATTCAAGTGCTATTCATAAATGGAATCTATAGACATACATGATGGACGGTGTCAGATTCGTACACACGTGGACGGTGCCAGATTCGTACACGTGGAGGATGCCAGATTCGTAACACTTTTTAACGCTGACGTTTTTTTCTTCTTCTAGAGCATGGTGAATGTTATTGAATACTTTCTTCAATTAGACGATCGTTCACAAATCCGATCTCGGCGATCTCACTACATGCAATCGATGAAATCTGATTTCTGATTGGTTGCTATTTGCCCTTCTAAGTAGTGTGAGTTTTTCTTTAGAGAGGGCTGTATGATGGAGTCTTAATCCCTCTTATATGACATCTGACCTGTTCAATACAATGTTTACACAGTGTGATCTGCATGTTGTGGGTCATTGGTTCATGTGCACTACATGTCCCAGCCTGCCTTGCCAGCCTTCATCTTCGTTGGGAATGATTATTTGGAAAGGGATTGGTTTAATATTATTAATATTAAAGTTTGTATTTAATTTTGTATTTATTTTATTATTACATTTTTATGTATTTATATTATTTTTTAATGTTTTTTTTAATTTAAG